CAAACATTTGAGAATAGCTTTAGAAGGCAGCAAGAAAATAATCCATTGCTTTTGGAATTCCTGGACCCTTTTTTTAGGAGCCCTGGTGGCGCAGTGGTTAAAGTGCTCAGTTGCTAACCAGAAGGTCAGCAGTTGGAACTCACTAGCCGCTCTGTGGGAGAAGTATGTGGCAGTCTGCTTCTGTAAAGATTAAACCCGTAAAAACCCATTGCCATCAAGTCGATTCCAGCACATAGTGACCCTAAAGGACAGAGTAGAACTGCCTCATAGGATTTCCAAGGAGCACCTGGTAGATTCCAGCTGCTGACCTTTTGATTAGCAGCCGTAGCCCATAACCACTATGCCACCAGGGTTTCCCCCTTGGAAACCCTGTGGGGCAGTTCTGTTCTGTCCTATAGAGTCGCTATGAGTTGAAATCAACTCAAAGGCAGTGGGTTTTTAGTGGGTTGGACCCTTTCTTTGCGTTCGGAATCTTTCCTTTTAAAATCTCTTTGGTACAGAGTATAGTTATTCTTTGCCTGCCGACCTGCTTTCCTCCTTTCTTCCCTTCCTTCCCTCCTTCCCTTCTTCCCTCATTAGTTTTACTTTTTTGAAATGTAAGAGAGGTAATGGGAGCAGGATGCAATGCTGCCTCCCCCTGCTGGTTGCTTTCGTGTACAGTCTTGTTTGTTCTGTACAAAGGGGATAGAGGCAGTGTTTGGGACAATGCAAGCGACAGGAACACAAAAACAGACTGAGACTGAAATTCTTAGTTTTTTTTTTTTTAAATTGTCCAAATGTAGTGAATTTTAAAATGTTCCCTTTGTGAGAAGATGAAAGGAATTTATTTTGCTTCCTTTCATTCTTTGCAAAATGAGGTAAAAAAAGTTTATGAAGTAGTGATTTGTTTTGTCCTGCTGCTGCAAGTGTTTGTATATTAATGACGAAATTAGCAGTCTCCTTTATTTTGCTGATGCTCAAGATTTTTCTTTTCTAAACTAAAATGAACAGATCTCTCTGGTT